GAAAAGAGATACCGAACTGAGTATTTTCGAAAGTGGTCTATCTCCTTATGGGCTGATTCAAACAACGACTATTCAGTTCTCTCCTTTATCTTCGGACTCTTTGCTTCGACATTTTTCTATAGCAGCAATGAGACGCGCACAATGTGATGAAAGCTTGATTGGAGTAGATTGATGAGCCATTGAGTAGAATTGTTTTGAACAGATTCTTGTCGTTTCAGCTTTCGGCTGGGAAGCGGTACAACAAAAAACTAGCGCCGCAATTAGCGTCATCAGCCGAGGGTACCTATGCGCAAGCAGACGATGATGCAGGTGTGAGCTGTAATCTTAAAGCGCAATCGATCATCAGTCGTTGGCATAGTAAGTGTTTTCCCTTTTCTGAAACTCGCGACGATGTATTAACGTTTGAAATAGTTTCAACTCTGTCGTCTCGGGTCGTACTCAAATTCTCATATTAGAGCTTTGATGGAATTGTGATCTAATTGTACTCTGTGATAGCACTTATGTTGTATGCTGATCTCGGCTTCAGAAAAAAATTAAAAATGTGAATCTTGCTTCTCGGAAACGTTGGACAGCATTGTGCTAGGATTCTGTAACGTGGAGGTGCTCTTTCAGGTTCATTTGAGGAATCCATAGATGACGGTGAACACCCGAACGGTGCTCAATTGGAACGAGAAAAATCCGATAGTAGCATTGGAACGCGATCGCCACTGTTGCATGATCGATACGCGCGAGTATTTCGTAAGTTCCTTTTGATCGCCTATTTTGGAGCAAATGTTCCTTCCATCACGAGTCACGCGGTCGGTTTTCAACACCGCTACGGTANCCTAACGGACAGTTTGCCTAACGGACATTTTGCCTAACGGACAGTTTGCCTAAGGAACAGTTTGCCTATTAGGCGAAATATCCGTTAAAAAACTGTAAGTTAGGCAAATGTCCGTTAGGCAATGTGTCTTTAGGCAAACTGTCGTTAGGCTAAATGTCTTTAGACAGATTGACCGGTCACGCACCGCTACAGCCAGAATTCCTCGAAAATTCTCTATTTCTTGAAATTTCATTCGTCAGATATTCAAACCTTTATGTTCGAAAGCAGTCGTTGTTAGTGTCTATGTGAGAAGCAAATAGATATCGACGAGTAGCAGCCGAGTGATTCAGTGTAATCATTGCTTGTAATCTCGTTTGAAACAATGACTGTGATGGCACTTTTCAGCTCGATGTTCGCCACTTCTGCACGCCAATCGAACATCCGAA